AAAATTAGCTAATTAATATGCACATATTTTTACCTAAAACTAATCAAATCGGCAAATTAGTTCAGAGCATCTATGTACCAAGTTTCATCAAAATCCAATGACTGGTTCTTTAGATATCAGTGGAACAGTCATGGAACAGCTAAAAATTACCTAATTATCATGCAAATTAGGTAATTAATTTGCATAGATTTTTAAAACTAATCAAATCTGCGCATTGGCCGAAATTTGATCAGTGGTTATTGAGATTACGGTGGAACAAAAAAAATTGACATACACACACATACATGCATACATGCATGCATACATACATACATACATACATACATACAGGGTAGCTCTGCAAAGACTACACTGGAGACAAAAAATCTTTAGTTTTTTTGTGTTTTTGCTTATAATTAAAATGAAAAATGTTGCCAACAATTCATAAACAAGTAAAATAAAGTTGGAACATTTTTGTTGTTATATTCCAACTCTAGAGAATTTTGATAAATAAAACATTTTGACAGTGCCAGTCAACATTCAATAACTCACAAACGAACTACCGGTAGATACTGATACCGAAACTTTCTGCTGAGCTCTGACGTGTTATGTGGTAATAATAGTAACTTACCAAATTACGTTCAGTCGTGAAATCTTCAGGAGTACTTGATGTTTACTTCTATAGTTTCAAAATGTCCCGCGTCAATGATTAGGAACATTGCAGGATCTTTCAGGTAAATACAGTCAGTCATTAATTTATTAACATTAAATAAATAATGTAAGCTTTTTTAACTATAAATATTTACATTATCTGTCGGGGCGTTTGGACAACATAATTTATGCAACTGTGTAACAGTTCCCTAGGTTTAATCGTCTGTTCAGTTTATTTTAACACGCTCAGGTACAGGGAATTAGATTACTAACTGTATTAACCGGTTACTTCCTGTTTATTTGGCAAGAAAGTCTCGCGAAATTGTATTTTGTATCGCGAGGTTTCAGGATGTATTACGCGAGACTCCCTTTGAGGTCAGCGATAGAAACCCGTGAGACGACCTCTTTAAACACTTCTGCTCGATCAACATGGAGCGAGATCTAGAAAGGTGCGATAAAACGTTTGATTTCATCATTTAAACGATGTAATTTTTACTGTATTAAATATTTGTTTGAACAATGAATACTTCTCGTGTCAATTGTATTAATTATTTTTTATCTCAGGCCCGGGGGAAAAGGAAGTATCCAGTCTGTTCAAGTCTTCGGAAGAAAGGTAAAGTGACTTCATATTTATTTATAATTTACCCTTCTTATCGGTAGCCGATTTACGTATATACCTATATACATTAAATAATGACCACAAGGTCCCATATTCTTTACAAATGTCACCTCTGGATGAAATAAACAAACCTCGTGTCTGGTTTTTCCTCCCTTACACGCTTTGCTTCATAGGACGCCCTCATTCGTCAAGTCTGCTTAGTCTTTCGTTGAGAGTTGTACTGATGAACGATTTTAGACAGAATTTTAACAAAAACAATCCTTCAGATATCAGTTATGTAAAGGTTTGTATAGATAATTTAATTTCAAGTTCTGAAAAACTTGTCTGAATATGCACAAACTGGGGACCATGCCAATAAGTGCAATGGTATGTAATGTAAAATTATTCCCATGTCTTGAAAATGTATTTGTTTTATGGTAAAGAATCCATAGTACCTTATGTTCTTTATTTACTCTTTCATTAGAAAACTGCTACTGCTGTGGCCCATTGTAAGCGTGGTAAAGGTATTTTGAAAGTTAATGGACGTCCTCTGGATACCCTAGAACCAGCTGCATTGCGATACAAGGTAAACCAATATCGCATTGTCTTTTGTACTAATTTTCAAGATTGTGAATACATTTCAGCTTGTTTTGTGTGCTGCTGGCATGTTTTTGCATTCTATAGAAGTATTGAACAAATTGGAAGTCAATATGTGCCAATGTATTCATATATTCCTGGATCGTCAGCACTGTCAAATTGGCTATTTCTATTCGATTGTTGGCTACCTACTCGAACACTGCCAATGGATCCTACAATGCAAGACAGAATACAGAATGTGCATATGTACACTGGCAAATAACCTAACTTAGATTCCCAGTACACATGTTTTATACAAATTGTGTCGAACTTGATGTGTTGTTGCCTTTATTCTGACTAAGTGATTATCAAAAGTATGTTTACTTTATCTGGTGGTTAATTATGAAATTCCTAGTAAAAAAAATAACAAGACCATCGGTCGACTATTCAAAATATAAATGCGTTTAGAATTAGGAATGGTTTCAATTTTGGTTAGAGCAGTACCTTGACTTAATCATTTGACACCCAATAAATATGTATCAACTACACCGATTTATTTTCAGCTGCAAGAACCCATACTATTATTAGGCAAAGAAAGATTTTCTGAAGTTGACATTAGAGTGAGAGTAAAAGGCGGTGGACGAGTTGCACAAATATATGGTAATTTATTGCTGATTTACACACCTTTAACTTTACTGTTATAGGATGTAGAATTAGTTTGGGTATCTTAAGACGTTTCTCTTGAGAACTCCTTTTGTATACCAGTTTTTGATGAAAACCACAATACGATAGGTATTGTGGTTTTCATTAAAAACTGGTATACACAATTTTTGCTTTAAGAGGATGTTGTCAAAGTGAATTTTAGAGACTGCACAACAGTATGCCAACCCCATGTAAAATGGTTTGATAAGCCATATAAATGCAATATTCCCTGAATATAACAATATGTTGTCTGTCACTATCAGGACTTGAATGTTGTGTTGAGAGGACACCCATTTTCAAGACTAAAATTTATTAAATGCTCTGCTGCAATACATATTATTTTGGTGGCTTCTTGAGTTGACAGTCCAAACCATGAGAATATGGTAATAAATATATAGAAAATTGATATGTGAACCAAAAGTGGTATTTAGTGATAACATTTTCAATTATTTTGTAATCTGTTGCAGTTGTCCAGTCTAAAGCATGTTTTGAGCTTTAGGTTGCAACAAATGAGTCAAGACTAAATAAAGGGATATTGAGATGTTTTGGTACCATGTTCAACATTTCAAATCTTTATACACAGTATGGTATACTTGTGTTGCTAGGAATTTCATTTCCTGCCCTGCACAACTGGTTTCCACCATACAACATACTCATTTACACGTTCTGTTTCACAAAATATTTTTCAATCTTTTCACAGCAATCAGACAAGCTATATCGAAATCATTGGTATCGTACTACCAAAAATGTAAGTGATGTTGACATTCCTCATAGCTTTATAGCACAAAATGACAGGTGTATTAAGCGATGTGTATCGCATGTTTGTGAACTTGTGGTATTCTCTAATGTAGAAACTCTCTGCGACCATCTGGTCTGACTTTACCGACCACTCTTGTTGCAGACGGCTTACTTTATTTTACGACATACTGATTTAATTTGTGTGGCTAATATTTGTCCAGCTTATTTACTTTCTTACACTATGAACTTGTGCATTACAAGAACAGAATTTTTATTTTCCTGATATGTCCACCTACTGCAAAGCAAAAATTCTAAAGCCGAAAATGGTGGCAGAAAGTTTCAACACGCCAGTATACTAATAACTTCATCATTCACCTTCCTGATCGACTGCTTGTCCTAGACGAAATCGTGAAACTTGCCAACCATCTTGGAATTGTGAATGTTCATTGTGTTCTCTCACCAAGTGTCTACTTTGGCTCATTCATCAGAAATTACTGCTCTGAAACTCAAACTATCCGGTGACCCCAGAACTTTGGTCACTACATGCACTAAGATATACTTGTGCATTTTCAATACCAGTTTTAATAAATTATCAAGCAGATTATTTTACCATTAAGATGCCTCGCTTCAGTCCTTAAAAGGAGAGCCTTGTTTGCCAACCGTGCTAAACATTGTCGATATAGTGTCAGTGACATTAAAGCCACTACCCTTTACAAGCCATATTCCAAAAAGTGTATTTCAACATGCAAAATTGCTGAAGATTGTGATTGGCTGCCGTTTGTAGTACAAAGGTCATTCCAATTAAAATTTTTTGTTAGCAAATGGTAAGGGAGTACAGTGACACAGATGGCACACTTCCAAACATCAATAAAATAAACCATGGCAAGTAAGCGCTTGTGTGTGAAACGGAAGTTCAAATGAAAAAGTGTGCTGATGGTTTCACATTTTTTTTTCTTAATGTTTATTTTAGATGTTGATGAAGCCTCAAAGAAGGAAATAAAGGACATCTTGGTACAATATGATAAAACATTGCTTGTAGCTGATCCAAGGAGATGCGAACCAAAGAAATTTGGTGGTCCTGGACCCCGTGCTCGTTACCAGAAATCTTATCGTTAACATTAATTTCTTCCTTCGGAATGAAATGGGAATTGTAAAACAAAATAAAGCTTGATTTCTGGGAATGTCTTTGTCTGTTTATGCTAAATTTAACACGCACACATTTGATTCAATACATGCAATAATGATGTAGTGTATTAAGTCTGTTGTATACAATTATCTTGAGCCATACAGGTGAATCTGATTTATCCATGTGTGAAATATGAATGTATCTAAACAGTTGGATAACTCGTGTGTGGCAGTGAAGGGTTACAATCTGTGTTGGCCAAGCAGCGATTTAAAGATGGGCACATGCATGTTTGGGACTTGTTTTCTGAGACTACTTGTTTGATCCAAATTCTTGTGTGTAATCTTCAAATGCTAAATTTGTAATGCTTCAAATTAGCTTGCTCATTGACACCATAAGCATCTTGTTCAGCCCTGATTTTAGATTTTCTTGTCAATGCCATAGGATGGATATCCAGCAGGAATTTTTCTAAACAAGAAAATTGTGCCTTCATGCCATGGCCATGCGCCCCCATACCCTGGGGTAAGATCCTCTGGCAACCATAAAATTCTAATTGACCAGGGATTACATGTGGCCACAGTCTTCAACTGTGACCTGTTTGATACTGTAAAATGATTAATTTTCACTGGGTTTAAATTTCATTGATTTACCATTTCAGGCATATTCAGTGGGTTTTAAATTCACAGTTTCGTCATTTAGATAATGTGTTCTATGCTAAATTTTACATATTCACTGTTTTAATTTAGCGCATTTTTCCAGTCAGCGAAATAAGCTAAATTAAAACCCAGTGAATAATTACCCCCTTTAC